CTCCAGGAACCCCTCGCTCTCTTTTGTGTGTGGCTCCAGGAACCCCTCGCTCTTTTGTGTGTGGCTCCAGGAACCCCTCGCTCTTTTGTGTGTGGCTCCAGGAACCCCTCACTCTCTTTTGTGTGTGGCTCCAGGAACCCCTCTCTCTTTTGTGTGTGGCTCCAGGAACCCCTTGCTCTCTTTTGTGTGGGTCCTGCAACCTCTCATCTTTCTTTGTGTGTGGCTCCAGGAACCCCTTGCTCTCTTTTGTGTGTGGCTCCAGGAACCCCTTGCTCTCTTTTTGTGTGTGGCTCCAGGAACTCCTCGCTCTCCTTTTGTGTGTCTCTAGGAACCTCTCACCCCTCTCCTCTGTGTACAGCCGTTGGATTCTCTCATCCTTTCCTTTGTATGTACTCCCCAGGCCTCTCTATACTCACTGCTCTCTACAGGTGATACCAGCTTAGCCAGCCACTGCTGCCACCACACACCATCCTCTACAGGTCATACCAGCCTAGGGATACCTATTTTCTGTATGGGAGGGGTAGTGGAGGTGGTGTATAGAACTGGCGGAGGGGTTGGTGTACAGAAAGGCAGAGGAGGCAGGGTATGGAAAGAGTGGTGCAGATGGTGGTGTACTAGAAAGGGTGGAGGGATTGGTGTATGAAAAGGGTGGTGGAGGTGGTGTATGGAACTGGCGGTGGGATTGGTATGTGGAAAGGGCGGAGGAGGCGGTGTATAGAAAGGATGGTGGAGGCAGAATATGGAAAGGGTGGGGAAGATAATATATGGAGAGAAGTTGGCAGTTTTTGGAGAGGAATCATATGGTAGTGTCTGTGGACAATCACAATGGCCCTCTGTTTAGAGGACGGTGACAGTGGTGTACGGAGACAGTGGTGTATGGAGAAGTAGTTAGAGGTTTTTGTAGAGAAATGCAATGGTGGTGTAAGAAGAGATGGAGGCGGAGGTGTCTGGGAAGGATTGTGAGGTCACTGTAGAGGACAGAGACAGCGCTGTTCAGAGATGGCTCTGTACACGGAGGATGGAGGCAGCATTGTACGCAGTGGATGGAGCCAACGCTGTGCACAGACAGCACAGTACGCAGTGAATGGAAAAGATGCTGTATACAGAAGATGGAGTTGTCGGTGTACGCCGAGGACGAGGAGGACAAAGAAGGTGCAGTATGCAGATTATGAAGGCAGTGCTGTACACAGGGGACCGAGACAGTGCAGTAGTCAAGGGATAGAAATGGTGCAGCATGCAGTGAACAGAGACAGTGCTGTACGCAGAGGACCAAGACGGCAGTACGCATTGGATGGAGACGGCACATAATGTAGTGGATGGAGAAGTTGCAGGACACAAAGGATGGAGGTGCTGGTGTACGCAGAAGACAAAGGCGGTGCTGTACGCCAAGGATGGAGAAGGTGCAGTATGCAGATTATGAAGGCGGTGCAGAACATGGAGTAAAGACAGTGGTGTACGCAGAGAACGGAGATGGCACTGTAAGCGGAGAATGAACACAGCGATGTTCTCCGTGGATGAAGATGGCAGTGGACGGAGACGCAGTATGCAGAGGATGGAGATGGCTCAGTATGCACAGGATGGAGATGGCTCAGTATGCACAGGATGGAGATGGCTCAGTATACAGACTATGAAGGCTCCGCCGCACTTCGTAGATAGAGTCACGCAGTACACAGAGGATGGAGATGGAGATGGGACACACAGTATGCAGAGAATGGAGCAGTACACAGTTGATGGAGGTGGTGCTGTACTCGGACAAAGATGGCGGAGTACATGGAGGATGAAGGTGGTGCAGTACGCAGAGGAAAAAGGTGCAGGACATACAGGTGAAACTCAAAAAATTAGAATATGGTGCAAAAGTTCATTTATTTCAGTGCAGCAACTTAAAAGGTGAAACTAATATATGAGACTCATTACATGCAAAGCAAGATAGTTCAAGCCGTGATTTGTCATCATTGTGATGATTATGGCTTACAGCTCATGAAAACCCCAAATCCACAATCTCAGAAAATGAGAATATTGTGAAAAGGTGGAATATTCTCGGCTCAAAGTGTCCCACTCTAATCAGCTCATTCAGCCATAACACCTGCAAAGGGTTCCTGAGCCTTTAAATGGTCTCTCAGTCTGGTTCAGTAGGAATCACAATCATGGGAAAGACTGCTGACCTGACACCATCATTGACACCCTCCATAAGGAGGGAAAGCCTCAAAAGGGTAATTGCAGAAGAAGTTGGATGTTCCCAAAGTGCTGTATCAAAGTACATTAATAGAAAGTTATGTGGAAGGGAAAAGTGTGGAAGAAAAAGGTGCACAAGCAGCAGGAATGATCGCAGCCTGGAGAGGATTGTCAGGAAAAGGCCATTCAAAAGTGTTGGAGACTTTCACAAGGAGTGGACTGAGGCTGGAGTCAGTGCATCAAGAGCCACCACACACAGGTGGATCCTGAACATGGGCTTCAAATGTCGTATTCCTCTTGTCAAGCCGCTCCTGAACAACAAACAACGTCAGAAGCGTCTTACCTGGGCTAAAGAAAAACAGACCTGGTCTGCTGCTCAGTGGTCCAAAGTCCTCTTTTCTGATGAGAGCAACTTTTGCATCTCATTTGGAAACCAAGGACCCCGAGCATGGAGGAAGAATGGAGAGGCCCAAGGACCCCCGAGTATGGAGGAAGAATGGAGAGGCCCAAGGACCCCGAGATGGAGGATGGAGGAAGAATGGAGAGGGAGAGGCCCAAGGACCCCGAGTATGGAGGAAGAATGGAGAGGCCCAAGGACCCCGAGTATGGAGGAAGAATGGAGAGGCACATACTGCAAGTCCAGTGTGAAGTTTCCACAGTCATGTGTTGATTTGGGGAGCCATGTCATATGCTGGTGTTGTGGTCCACTGTGCTTCATTAAGTCCAGGGTCAACGCAGCCGTCTACCAGGAGATTTTGGAGCACTTCATCATGCTTCCTTCCGCAGACGAGCTTTATGGGGATGCTGACTTCATTTTCCAGCAGGTTGGCCAGCAAACTCGCCTGACCTGAACCCCATAGAGAATCTATGGGGCATTGCCAAGAGAAAGATGAGAGACATGAGACCGAACAATGCAGAAGAGCTGAAGGCCGCTATTGAAGCATCCTGGTCTTCCATAACACCTCAGCAGTGCCACAGGCTGATAGCTTCCATGCCACGCCGCATTGAGGTAGTAATTGCTGCAAAAGGGGCCCAAACCAAGTACTGAGTACATATGCAGCTTCTACTTTTCAGAGGTCCGATATTGTTCTATGTACAATCCGTGTTTTATTGATTGCATGGAATATTCTCATTTTCTGAGATTGTGGATTTGGGGTTTTCATGAGCTGTAAGCCATAATCATCACAATGATGACAAATCACGGCTTGAACTATCTTGCTTTGCATGTAATGAGTCTCATATATTAGTTTCACCTTTTAAGTTGTATTACTGAAATAAATGAACTTTTGCACCATATTCTCATTTTTCGAGTTTCACCTGTAGATTACGAAGATGGTTCTGTATACAGAGGACCAAAGCGGCACACTATGCACTGGACGACGATGGTGCAGTACACAGTGAATGGAGACATGCAGTATGCAGATTACGAAGGCGGTGTACTTAGTGGAACGGAGAAGGTGCAGTCTGCAGAATACGGAGGGTGCAGTCGAAGGGCGATATGCGGCGCGGCAGTCGGAGGGAGATGGGCGGCGCGGCTGTTCGTAGGGCGATGGCGGCAGCCGGAGGGCGATGGCAGCGCGGGCAGTCGGAGGGCGAGGCGGCGCTGCTGGCGATGGCGGCATGGCAGTCCCGGAGGGCGAAGGTGGCCGCGGCAGTCGGAGGGGGCAGAAGGCAGCGCTGCTGCTGATGGCGGCATGGCAGCGGAGGGCGAAGGCGGCACGGCGGTTGGAGGGGCGATGGCGGCATGGCAGACAGAGGGCAGATGGCAGGCGCGCGCGGAAGATCGGAGGGCGATGGCGGCAGTCAGAGGGCGATGGCGGCAGTCGGCAGAGCGATGGCAGCGCGCGGCAGTCGAGCAGGGCTAAGGCGGCTGCTGGCGATGGCGGCATGGCAGTCCGGAGGGCGATGGCAGCGCGGCAGTCGCAGGGCTAAGGCGGCGCTGCTGGCGATGGCGGCAAATGGCAGTCCGGAGGGCTGAAGGGCGGCACGGCTGTTGGAGGGCGATGGCGGCAGTCGGCAGGCGATGGCGGCATGGCAGTCCCTGGAGGGGCGAAAGCGCACGGCTGTCAGAGGGATATGGCAGCATGGCAGACGGAGGGGAGGGGGCGATGGCGGCAACGGCTGTCGTAGGGCGATGGCGGCAGCCGGAGGGCGATGGCAGCGCGGCAGTCGGAGGGCGAAGGCGGCGCTGGCTGGCGATGATGCGGCATGGCAGTCCGGAGGGCGAAGGCTCGGCACGGCTGTTGGAGGGCGAAGGCGGCGCGGCAGTCGGAGGGCGATGGCGGCCGGCGCGGCAGTCCAGCAGGGCGATGGCGGCGCGGCAGTTCTGGAGGGCGAAGGCGGCACGGCTGTCAGAGGGATATGGCAGCATGGCAGACGGAGGGCGAATGGCGGCACGGCTGTTGGAGGGTGATGGCGGCGTTGCTGTCAGAGGGAAATGGCGGCGCAGCAGATGGAGGGCGAAAGGTGACAAAAGAAGGTGCTATGTTCCGGGGAGGGGGACTCCCTGTACTGGAATGCGGGGTGGCGGAGCTCAGGCACACACAGCACACGGTGACACTCAGACGTTGTGATTTCGGCCGATGAGGAGTCACATCTCACCTGGAGGGAGGAGACCTTCCCCTGACACAACACAGAAGGGGCGGAGTTTCCGCACTGAAAGCGGGCAGGAGAGAAGATCCCGCCCTCTTCCAGCATGGCGGAGGAGGACGTGACGTAACGGCGGAGGTCGTGGTGCAGGCTGGGAGGGGGCGGGGCACGACGGAGGTCGCAGTGCAGGCCGGGAGGAGGGGGAGGGGAGAGCGGGTCGGTGGGGTAGATGAGAGAAGATGAGGCGAGCACAGCGGAACCACCGAGGAGGACCGACCGCCGCCATCCTGTCCGCCATCGTGTGCCTGAGCGCCGGTCAGTCCGGGGAGTGTTCCGTCTGCATGGGGGGGAGCCTGCCACGGGGGCGTGTACAGAGGGGGTTGTGTTATACGGGGGGGGGGGGGAGCAAATCCATCCATTCCCCCCCCCCCTTAAACCATCACCTGTGTGATCTTCTGGACCATCACATTGCAGACTTAGATCAGAGACAATGATGTCTCCCACCCCCCCCCTTGGTACCGTATGTCTCCACCCCCCCCCCCCCGGTACCCGTATGTCTCCCCCCCCCCCCCTTGGTACCATATGCCCCCCCCCCCCCTTGGTACCGTATGTCTCCCCCCCCCCCCCCCCCCCCCTTGGTACCGTATGTCTCCCCCCCCCCCGGTAACCGTATGTCCTCCCCCCCCCCTTGGTACCATATGCCCCCCCCCCCCTTGGTACCATATGTCCCCCCCCCCCCCCCATTGGTACCATATGCCCCCCCCCCCCTTGGTACCATATGCCCCCCCCTTGGTACCGTATGTCTCCCCCCCCCCCCCCGGTACCCTGTATGTCCCCCCCCCCCCTTGGTACCGTATGTCTCCCCCCCCCCCGGTACCCGTATGTCCCTCCCCCCCCCGTACCGTTATGTCTCCCCCCCCCGTACCGTATGTCTCCCCCCCCCCCCCCCCCTTGGTACCGTATGCCTGCCCTCCCCCCTTGGTACCGTATGCCTGCCCTCCCCCCTTGGTACCTGTATGTCTGCCCTCCCCCCCTTGGTACCGTATGTCTGCCCCCCCCCTTGGTACCGTATGTCTGCCCCCCCCCCCCCCCCTTGGTACCGAATATGTGCTGCCCCCCCCTTGGTACCGTATGTCCTGCCCCCCCCCTTGGTACCGTATGTCTGCCCCCCCCCTTGGTACCGTATGTCTGCCCCCCCCCCTTGGTACCGTATGTCTGCCCCCCCCCCCCCCCTTGGTACCGTATGTCTGCCCCCCCCCTTGGTACCGTATGTCTGCCCCCCCCCCTTGTACCGTATGTCTGCCCCCCCCCCTTGGTACCGTATGTCTGCCCCCCCCCCTTGGTACCGTATGTCTGCCCCCCCCCCTTGGTACCGTATGTCTCCCCCCCCCCCCCCCCCCCCCCCGCCTTGGTACCGTATGTCTCTCCCCCCCCCCCCGCCTTGGTACCGTATGTCTCCCCCCCCGCCTTGGTACCGTATGTCTCCCCCCCCCCCCCCCCCCCCTTTGGTACCGTATGTCTCTCCCCCCTCCCCCCCGCCTTGGTACCGTATGTCTCCCCCCCCCCCCCCCGCCTTGGTACCGTATGTCTCCCCCCCCCCCCCCCTCCCCCTTGGTACCCGTATGTCTCCCCCCCCCCCCCCCGCCTTTGGTACCGTATGTCTCCCCCCCCCCCCCCCGCCTTGGTACCGTATGTCCTCCCCCCCCCCCCCCCCCCCGCCTTGGTACCGTATGTCTCCTCCCCCCCCTCCCTTGGTACCGGTATGTCTCCCCCCCCCCCCCCCCCCCTTGGTACCGTATGTCTCCCCCCCCCCCCCCCTTGGTACCGTATGTCTACCCCCCCCCCCCTTGGTACCGTATGTCTCCTCCCCCCCCCCCCCCCCCTTGGTACCGTATGTCTCCCCCCCCCCCCCCTTGGTACCGTATGTCTCCCCCCCCCCCCTTTGGTACCGTATGTCTCTCCCCCCCCCCCCCCTTGGTACCGTATGTCTCTCTCCCCCCCCCCCCCCCCCCTTGGTACCGTATGTCTCTCCCCCCCCCCCCCTTGGTACCGTATGTCTCTCCCCCCCCCCCCCCTTGGTACCGTATGTCTCTCCCCCCCCCCCCCTGGTACCGTATGTCTCTATCCCCCCCCCCCCCTTGGTACCGTATGTCCCCCCCCCCCCCCCCCCTGGTACCGTATGTCTCTCCCCCCTCTCTGTACTGTATGCACTGGTCCTCTATAATTATACGGCCCCCCCTCTGTACTGTATACACTGGTCCTCTATAATGTATACGGGCCCCCCCCCCTCTGTACTGTATGCACTGGTCCTCTATAATGTATACGACCCCCCCCCCCCTCTGTACTGTATGCACTGGTCCTCTATAATGTATACGACCCCCCCCCCTCTGTACTGTATACACTGGTCCTCTATAATGTATACGGCCCCCCCTCTGTACTGTTTACACTGGTCCTCTATAATGTATACGGGCCCCCCCCCTGTACTGTTTACACTGGTCCTCTATAATGTATAGGGGCCCCCCCCTCTGTACTGTATGCACTGGTCTTCTATAATGTATACGGGCCCCCCCCCCTGTACTGTATTCACTGGTCCTCTAATGTATACGGCCCCCCCCTGTACTGTATACACTGGTCCTCTATACTGTATACGGCCCCCCCTGTACTGTATACACTGGTCCTCTATACTGTATACGGCCCCCCCTGTACTGTATACACTGGTCCTCTATACTGTATACGGCCCCCCCTGTACTGTATACACTGGTCCTCTATACTGTATACGGCCCCCCCCTGTACTGTATACACTGGTCCTCTATACGGCCCCCCCTGTACTGTATACACTGGTCCTCTATAATGTATACGGCCCCCCCCCCCTGTACTGTATACACTGGTCCTCTATACTGTATACGGCCCCCCCTGTACTGTATACACTGGTCCTCTATAATGTATACGGCCCCCCCTCTGTACTGTATATAGCCCTATCTATACTCTATATAGCCCCTCCTGTATGCTGTACACCGGCCCTTTATAGTATATACTCCCCCCAAATGCTGTATACCGCTTCTTCCTCTGGTCTGTATATATACCCCCAAGGACTGTATGAAGCCCCCTCTATGCTGTGTGTACACATTTCATACATGTATAAGGACCACTCGCCCTCCGGTCTTGTAATATGTATATGATGGATCACGCTCCTGCCTAGTGCTGTGAAATGTATTGGAATAGATCACCGTCCAGACTGGTCCTGCGATATGTATACGGACCGGTCGCCCCTCTGGGCCGGTCCTGCGATATGTATACGGACCGGTCGCCCTCTGGGCTGGTCCGGTGCGCGATATGTATACGGACCGGTCGCCCTCTGGGCCGGTCCTGCGATATGTATACGGACCGGTCGCCCTCTGGGCCGGTCCTGCGATATGTATACGGACCGGTCGCCCCCCCTGGGCCGGTCCTGCGACATGTATAAGGACCGGTCGCCCCCTGGGCTGGTCCTGCGACATGTATAAGGGCCGGTCGCCCCCTGGGCCGGTCCTGCGATATGTATAAGGGCCGGTCGCCCCCTGGGCCGGTCCTGCGACATGTATACGGGCCGGTCGCCCCCTGGGCCGGTCCTGCGACATGTATAAGGGCCGGTCGCCCCTGGGCCGGTCCTGCGACATGTATAAGGACCGGTCGCCCCTCTGGGCCGGTCCTGCGACATGTATAAGGGCCGGTTGCCCCCTGGGCCGGTCCTGCGACATGTATAAGGGGCCGGTCGCCCCCTGGGCCGGTCCTGCGACATGTATAAGGGCCGGTCGCCCCCTGGGCCGGTCCTGCGACATGTATAAGGGCCGGTCGCCCCCTGGGCCGGTCCTGCGACATGTATAAGGGCCGGTCGCCCCCTGGGCCGGTCCTGCGACATGTATAAGGGCCGGTCGCCCCCTGGGCCGGTCCTGCGACATGTATAAGGGCCGGGTCGCCCCCTCCTGGGCCGGTCCTGCGACATGTATAAGGGCCGGTCGCCCTCTGGGCCGGTCCTGCGACATGTATAAGGGCCGGTCCCCTGGGCCGGTCCTGCGACATGTATAAGGGCCGGTCGCCCTCTGGGCCGGTCCTGCGACATGTATAAGGGCCGGTCGCCCTCTGGGCCGGTCCTGCGACATGTACACGGGCCGGTCCTGCGACATGTACACGGACCGGTCGCCCTATGGGCCGGTCCTTCGACATGTACATACACGGACCGGTCGCCCTATGGGCCGGTCCTGCGACATGTACACGGGCCGGTCTGCGGCATGTACACGGGCCAGTCGCCCTCTGCGCCGGTCCTGCGACATGTACACGGGCCGGTCCTGCGACATGTACACGGGCCGGTCCTGCGACATGTACACGGGCCGGTCACCCGGTCTCCCTCCTGGCTGGTCCTGTGATATGTATAAATTTAGGGAACTGGTTGTGTTATGCAGTAAGTATAAGGACTGATCAGCCTCCACACTGGTCCTCTGATATGTATAAGGACTGATCACCTTCTGCAATGGTCCTGTGATATATATGTATATAAATACATACATGTACAGTGCCTTGAAGTCTTCCTCCCCCTTGAAGTGTCCCCCATGTTGTCAGGTTACAATGTATTTATTGGGATTGGATGTGATAGACCGACACAAAGTGGCACATGATTGTGAAGTGGAAGGAAAATGATAAATGGTTTTCAACATTTTTTACAAATAAATTCCTGAAGAGTGTGGCGGCATTTGTGTTCAGCCCCTTGTATTCTGATACCCCTAACTAAAATCTAGTGGAACCAATTGCCTTCAGAAGTCACATAATTAGTAAATAGAGTCCACCTGTGTGTCATGTGATCTCAGTATAAATACAGCTGTTCTGTGAAGCCCTCAGAGGTTTGTTAGAGAACATTAGTGAACAAACAGCATCATGAAGGCCAAGGAACACACCAGACGGGTCAGGGATAATGTCGTGGAGAAGTTTAAAGCAGGGTTAGGTTATAAAAATCATCCCAAGCTTTGCCCATCTCACGGAGCACTGTTCAATCCATCATCCGAAAATGGAACGAGTACGGCACAACTGCCAACCTACCAAGACATGGCCGTCCACCTAAACTGACAGGCCGGGCCAGGAGAGCATTCATCAGAGAAGCAGCCAAGAGGCCCATGGGAAGTCTGGAGGAGCTGCAGAGATCCACAGTTCAGGTGGCAGAATCTGTCCTCAGGACAACTATCAGTCGTGCACTCCACAAATCTGGCCTTTATGGAAGAGTGACAAGAAGAAAGCCATTGTTGGAAGAAAGCCATAAGAAGTCCTGTTTGCAGTTTGTGAGCAGC